TTCGCCGAAGGAGGGGGAACTGCATCGACGTAGGTCGGACCTCCAAGATGCCACCTGTGCGTCCATGGCTCTTATCCACTAAGAAGCACAGCGCTCCTAGAACGCCTCAGTGTAGGTGCAAGGGGTCGGGATGTCAAGAGCGTCTAGGTCTCCCTCAGGGGCTAGCAGCATGGCACAGAGGTGATGAGCAGTGGCCGCAAGGAAAGCCAGCTCGTAACGCCTGTCCTTGAGGACTGTCAAGAGCAGGAGTACCCCCGACGGACGGAGGACGAGCAAGAGCCAAAACCAACTGAGTGCCGTAGTCAAGGCGGCATGTAGAGGCGAAGTCGGTGGCAGCAGCGACAAGAGTAGAGACACGCTGAGTAGGAGCAGTGGGGTTGTTAACGAGGGAGGAAAAGGACACGGGAGATCGTAGGGTACGCAGCATGGAGAAAGTCAGAGAATGGAGGAGAGGAGATAGTAAGGGACGATGGAGGAGGTAAGGGGAGAATAGATGGAGGTGGAACACAAGGGGGACAAAAATGAAGGAGCATAAGGGGGATACCGGGAATGGGAGATGCATGGCGAGCACGAGGGGGGCGACAGGCCCAGAGTAGGAGGCAAGAGACTACTAAGGAAGCAAAGGAGGAGACAGCTGTATAGTAGGAGGAAAACACGACGGTGACGAGTCCGGGGGAGGAAACGTGGGACCGTAGACTGGGAGAGGCGGTGAGAGGGGGAGAGTTGATCGGTCAGTTGAGGGGTAAGAAAGACCAAGTAGGAGAAGCGCAGACACATGCGGCAACGACGGCTGCTGCTGCGGCTACTGCTGTGGCAAAGTTTGATGTGCTACTACTCCTTTGGCCAGTGCTGTTGCGCCGGACGTCCTGTGCGCGCGACACCCCCAGATTCAGTAACCCATGCGGTTGCACCCCCAGAGCCAGCACCCCCAGAGCAAGGACCCCCAGATTAAGCACCCCCAGAATCAGCACCCCAGCAGCAGCACCCCCTGAACTTGCACGCCCCGCTGCAGTACCTTCAGAGTCCACATGGACCGGCTGCGGCGGCAACGGGGGCCGCTGCTATGACTGCGAGCACGACGCGCTGATGACAGAGACTGCGGCAATACAGGAGGCAGGGGCAGGGGATGATACAGGAGGCGCACTCCCACGTATCGGGCCCTGAGAGTCAACAGTCTCCCCCACAGGCCCAACCGAGGGAAGGAAGGTGACGTGTGACAATCCTGATGGGGCAGTATGCGAGGTAGGGAGCAAGCAGAGGTGTGGGACCAGGGGGTGGAGTGGGAGTGAGAAAGAAGGGATGGAGCGTAAATTGGGGTACCTCGGTGAAAGAAACGAGTATAGCAATCAAAGGTAACGTCATGAGAGTGGAAGAAATGGTGAGACGAGGGGTGGTAGAACAGCCAGTCAGGGGCGTCAAGGGGGAAACCAAGGAAGACACACGGGAGAGTACGGGTTGAGAGCTTGTCCGTGCAAGTGTCGTGGACGTGAGCAAGGCAGCCTAAGACGCGAATCATAGGGTAGAGACTTCACTTCGTAAATTAATAATGAACATGGGTACAACTACGTGGCTATATATAGGCACAATACAAGGCCAGTAATCTGGGTGTTACTAGAAGGTATCGAGGCTCTAGAACTGGCGGGAATAGAGCCTCTCCGAATCAGTAAAAGGATTCGGTGCACAGTCACGCACACGCAAGGTGACGCAAGATAGTGCGAGATAATTCTAGAAAACTGTATAAAAACAGTGCACGCAATCCTATTCAGTGCTATTTCTAAAATGAGATATAGAAAGGGAATCGAATAGGAAAGAAGTGCATAATACAAAATATAAAATAAAATTGAGATAATTCAAGACAGAACGGATGGCGTACTCTCACACGCAACACCAAGGGACCCAGTCCAGAGAAGGGTCGGCGAAATCTGCGGCCATGAGATACAGGGCCACATGTTAAGCTGTTGTGCTGCGTGGCAGACTGCAAACAACCATAGAAAATGAGGGGCACTGGCATAAGTCATGGAAGTACGAGCGATCTCCATGACCAAGCCAATGTGACTCTCAACTACCTTATTCTATTGCGACCAGAAGCGCGAAGGTCTGGGTGATGTTCTTCGCACAACAGACCTGGCCAAGGTGACCGGAGATGAAATATCCACCGCCACCGGAGTGGAGACGAAGCACAGGCTGCGCGCGATTGGTGCGGACGACCACTAGCCATGGGAGGAGAGCACCAGGCATGTTGACCCTTCGCTCCAATGAAAACTCCGTGGTGTAGCGGGAGTAGTCATCCACAATGACTAGGAAGTAGTCCTCCCCGCGCGGCCAAGGGACACGAGCAGGGCCCCAGACGTCCATGTGCAGGGTCTGAAAAGGCTCAATGGTAGGAGGAAAGGAGGAAGAGGGAGGGGCGGCGCGCTATCTGCCCTCAACGCAAGGAGTGGACGTTGGTGCAAGCGATAGAGGGAGAGCGGGGAGCGATGACGGGAGACCCGAGACAAGACTGTGCTGAGCCATGTGACGGGGACGCGGGAGGGCGAGGCGACCTAGACGGTGGTGCCACTGGAGCGATGGGTAAATGGGCGGCCAACACGAGCACGACGCAGCTACCTGGCCAGACGCACGAAAGTGGGTGGACGTAGTGTGTAGCGTGAAAGACCCGACAAAGGGTCCGGAGAGTACGTGGCAAGAGATGCCCCAGTGGTAGCATCCGCACAGGTCGCGAACCGCTCGTGTCCACGAAACGTGGTGGTGGGGCTGAGATCTTGAAGATGACCGACACCCACCAAGTTCCTGGAGAACAAAGGCATGTGCAGATCTGCGAGGGAGCCAGAGGAGACTGTTGGACACGAGAGTGAAGTAGCACTGCGAGAGACGACCAGTCCAATGGAGGGGTCAGCCAGGGAGACTGCGACAGGAGCTGGAAGCGGCGAGCGGGGTGCTGTGGTCTCGAAAGAATCACTAAGACGTGCCGGGGTCTAACATGAAGGAGACGGACATGTTAGCAGTGGAGGTACCTGTGCAAGTAGCAGCATAGGATCCTACACTAGAGACAGCTAGAGATCGTAGGCTAGGTACACAAAAATAATAAGTTCCAGCAAAGCTATTGGCATCAGCATACATGGCATGCGTAGCAGATCCTATCTGAGCCATGTCCACATCGAAGACCTAACACCCCTGCGCAGCAGTGTAAGCTAGTCCGGAGGGGTCCCCTAAGGCTCAAATAGGGCGCTGAAGAGGTCGTCGAGTCGGCGGAAATAACACGCAGTGGAGTGATTGGTGCGCCCACGGATGGTGTTGCGTCGTGGACCAGACCGAACTAGGTATTGGCATTGCCCGGTGGGGGGGGCACGTGACCCCGAGCTATCAGACCCGCCTCCGTGGTCAACGCTCCTCGGGCCAGCAGGTCTCCACTGGGAGACCCATCAAGATCTGCTGCTGCTGCTGAGTCACTGTCAGACCCCCAGGACCAGCATTCTCAGTATCAGCACCCTCCGACACACTAACACCTCCACCGCCTCCACGACCACGACCACCCTTGCACCGTCCGTGCCCACCAGAGGGGGCAGTGATGGCTCCAACCTCCGTTGTAGCAGTAGGCTCAGAAAATAGCAGCAGAGACAGCTGAGGTAGGAGCTGTGGTGGAGTGCACCACCCAAAGATAGGGGGAACTGCTGTACCAGTGGTGGAGGTGATGGTGTGAAGGTGGGTCTCGATCTCAGTGAGAATAGTCTCAGAGAGATCAATAGTTTGGTCACAGGGTTGCATGGCGAGGAGGGCATCACGAGCAGGCGCGAGGCGGTCAGGGAGGCAGGTCGTGAGGAGGCAGGGTGAGATACATGAGGGGAGCCTGGCTAGCAAGCTGGGCAGGTGTGGGAGCAACGTGGAAGCTAGCGTCAAGCGAGCGCAGGTGGGTAATGAGGTCAGCGACAGTGGAGAACGCAGGGAGATCAGGAAAGATAAAAAGCATGATGAGGATCCTTAGAGTAGTAGAGGAGGGGGTGGAGTGACGAGCAATAATAGCGTCAAAACATTCCTTCGCTATCTCCACCTTGCGAAAGTGTACACGCTCGGTCATTGGGAGGAGGCGACTAATAGCAAAACGCGCAGCAGCATCACGCGCCTCCCAAAGCATGTGCGCCAGTCGGGCCGCGCAGTTCTCCTCCTGCTGCGCCGAAGATGCCTCAGTAGCAAGATCTGGGGGATGCTAGGGGGCAGGTAGCTCACCCGAAGTGTCGGCGTACAGGGGACGCCAGTACCGGTATGTCCATGCTAGGCTAAGAACCGGATGGGACTGTAGTGGTAGAGCCGGCGTAGCTATAAGAAGTGCATACCTTGTCAAAGTACAATCTCACTTGTAGGCTATAGTGGGGCACTCCTTATGGGGTACAGCACTTCTAGGGTTAGTACTTGTACCCCAACTCTTGCTAATCCAATCATTCCTGCACAGTTATTCTGACATACATTTCACCACACCCGCTACCAGACAGAAGGAAGGAGCCATTTACGGCAGGAAAAGAGGTAGGGTACCCTAGTAGAGGAAGTAAACTGCACTGTAAAGGTTTATACGGTACCACTTCTAATGTGTAGGATTACAAAGTATTACAAAGTACAGAAAAGGATTTTGCAGTGCACAACGTGCATTCTAGCACCTTGGTTGATTGTCCTAGTAAAGACTTGACTTTTCAGCCTTCCAAGGATTGGGCTCACGCCTCAGAGCAAGTACGGTACTACCACGGGGGGGGAAGCTGATCGATCAGCCTGCCCGAATATAGTGGCCTGGTTACCACGGTAGCTCCGTCAGATGCCTTGGAAGAAGAGTACCGCATGTATGAATATAGGTATGTCTCAAATGTACAGCACATCTATACACCTGCTTCCAACTTGTGCAGTTCAGTGCCACTCATCACAGCATAGCCCCCTCTGCCCCTCTACTCACCACACCTACCCATGCTCCAAGCACCCTTATCGGTATCCCTGCTGCTAGCTTACCCTTCCCTCCCCTACCTACCCGCCGCCCTCTTCTCTTCTTTTCCTCCTGGCTCCCCGTGCTCACTCTCACCCTCATCCCACTCCGCTGCTCCAGCCCCTAGAACCCACACACTCCCTCCTTTGTCTTTCTCCTTCTCACCCTGCTTCTGTCTCCTCTCCTGCCCCAGCCCTACCATTGCCACTGCAGCTGTTGCTGCAGCAGCAGCTGCATCCACCCTCCCTATCATCCTCTCCTCTTCCCTCTCTTCCCCCTCTTCCTCCTCTTCCTCCTCCCCACTTTCACCCTCTCTCACATCCTCCCACTCTCCATCATCCCCCTCCTCTCCCTGCTCCTCCTCCTCTACCCCCAACTCCGATTCATCTCTCCTCCCTTCCTCTTCCTCATCACTCTCATCTTCCTCCTCTTCTTCATACTCCTCTTCCTCCTCCTCCCACTCCTCACTTCCACCACGCCCCACCTCTCCAACTCCCCTCGTTCCCCACGCCGCTCCTCCCCCCTCCCCCACAGCCCCCCCTTTAAGCCCCATCGCAGCACCACCCCTCCCAGCAGCGGCACCTGCGGCCACGACCCCCGATCGAAACGCAGCGTCAGCAGCAGCATGGGACGCACTCACAGCATCTGCCACGCCCCACGTGCCCACGGCCCCTGCCACTGGCAGTCCACCCACAGGACCTAATGCTTCTGCTGCCACTGCTGGCGCTGCTGTCACCGATTGCCCCCCCGATCGTCCCACCCCCACCCATCTCTGCCTCAGCCCAGGCCTCCACGCCTCTCCTCCTCCCCGCTCCTCCTCCTCCTCCTCCTCCTCCTCCTCCTCCTCTTCCTCCTCCCGCCCCTCCCCTTCCGCCACTGCCTGTCGGCCCCGTGCCTGCAGCAGCTGCTTCCCTGCTGCCAGCAGCGACTCTATCTCCTCGTCACTCCCCCCCTCCTCCCCGCCTTCACCCACTCCCAAGCCCACGCCCAGTCCCACTCCCACTCCCGCTCCCGCTCCCCCTCCCTCCGCCCCATCCCTGCCCACATCCCCAAGGGGTCGACCAAGAGGAGGGGCCGCAGCAGGTGCAAGGCCAATAGGGGGATACCGAGGAGCGTGCAAGGCGGCAGCAGGGGCAGCATGGGCAGCAGAAACAGGGGTAGTAGGGCCGATGCCGAGGCTGCTGCTGCTGCTGCTGCTGCTGCTACCTTCACCCATCCACGCCCGGACTCTCCCCGCAATCGCCCCTTCATCTCTCAGAACGTCCATCCCCCCACCGTCCCCCTCGCCCCCCTCGTCTGCCTTGCCCTTCCCCCTGCCTCTCTCCCCTTCCCCCTGCATGAATACCGGCCTTAGCACCTCCTCAGACGCCTCCTCTGCTGAAATCCGGCCATAGGGAGCGGCAGCCGCAACAGCAGGAGAAGGAGACGGAGCAGCAGGGGCTGCAAGAGGAGCGGACGGACGGGCAGAGAGCAGGAAGATCATGCCCCTCTCCTCTCTCTGCTCTCTCTCCTCACCATCCCTTCTCCCCGCAACCTCGCCCATGCTCCCCATCCTTCCTAATCTCCCCATGCTCCCGCCGCCCCTCCCGTCGTCCCTCTCCTTGTTTCCGCCCTGCCACAGCAGCCGTATGATCACGCCACCGCAGCACACCAGCAGCACCATGGCCTGCATACCGAATATCCCAGCTGCGCACATAGTGAATAGCATCACCCGCCACGCCAGCAGCCACAGCCCCCCCGCGCCCCCCAGAACCGCGCGCAGGCGCAGCTCCGCGTCGTAGATCTGCGGAAGCCCCGCGCCTGGCCCTGCGCCCGCCTTGGGCGCAAGCATCACGCGCACCGCCGCCACGGGCGCTTTCCCCTCGACTCCGCGCAGCACGCGCAGCTCGATCCGCTGCGCCTCCTCGCGGAAGCCCCAGAGGAGCGGGAACGCGAGCACCGCCGTGCGGAGCGCGCGAATGGGGCGGCTGCTGAAGCGGAGAGTGGCGGGCTGGGAGTTGGCGGAGAGAACGGCGTGATCGGCGGAAAGCGCGTGCGCGGAGATCTGGAACATGCCGAGCGCGAGATTGTGGTCTGATTCGGGGAGGCGCAGGCGGAGAACCGCCTCGTAGCGCTGGTTGCGCTGCAGCAGGCGCGGGGGAGCCGCGGAGAAGAACCGCCCCGCGGAAGCGGAAGCGGAAGCGGACGAGGCGGAGTGCGCGCCTGCAGAGGCGGAAGACGAGGCGGGGGGCTCCGGCGGGGGCGGGAGGAGGGTGTGCGGGCGCGGAAGGAAAGAGGCGACGGCGAAAGGCTCAGGCTGGCGGAAATCGAAGAGGAGCGGGCGGGTCTGGTCGAAGGGGGTGGGCGCGAGCCGCCAAACGAGGAGCGTGGCGAGCGGGAGCGACGTGCAGACGAGCGCGGCGAAGAGCGACGCCGCCAGACACGACGCGCAGATGCCGCGCCCGACGTTCCGCGCAAGGCTCATGGAGGAGGACGAGGCGGAGGCGGAAGAGGGGGAGCGGGGGAAGTAGGCGGAGGGGGAGGACGGGGGACGGTGGTGGGACGGCATGTGCAGAGGTGCGGAAGAGTACGACGGGTCGGCGGAAGAGGGGGGGAAGCGCGCGGAAGAAGAGGGGAGGGCGGGGTAGGAGATGGTAGAAGAGGCGGCGGAGGGCGGGGGAGCGGATGCGGTGGGCGGGAAGGGTGGCGCGGAGGGGTAGAGCGGCGCGGCGGATGCGCCTAACGAGCGCGACGACTGGTGCGATGCGGCGGGATTCATGGTCGGCTGTACGTCAAAATACCACAAGTCAAGGCAAAGACAGGGAGAGGACGGGGAGGCGGCGGAAGGAAGGGAAGGGCGGGGGGAGGGGAGGAGAGGGGGAAAGTACGCGGGGAAGGGAAGTGGGTTAACTGATGCAAAGGAAGGAGGAGTGCGGCTGAGTCACACTAATGGTGGCGGCAGGGAGCAATCGAAGAAGAGTGAGAAACGAGAGGAGGAAAGAGAGACTTTTGAAGTGGACTCCAAAATCAGCGAGGTCCAAAAAAGGGATTCCGAGATCAGCGAGCCTTCTAGTCTGACGAGTACCTGCGCGCCCGACGAGGTGAGCTAGCGCGAGAAGGACGTCTGCACGAACCTGATTGGCGCGGGAAGAGAGAAGAGGGGCGCACGGAGGCGGCGTCGCGAACCCTGCTCGTTGACGCGATGAATCTGCTACGAAAGAGGAGATTCAAGAAACCATGTTGGCCGGAATCGAGATGGACAGCACGGTGGTTCTAACGGCTCGGCGAGAAGGACTGGTTGCAGGGAAGACGAGAGGCGAGGCACGAACTCGATGACCACGAAGGTGCGCAGTTAAAGCCCAAGACCTGAATTGCTCAACGCAAGTCAACGCGGGGCAAAACTGTGGGCTGTGGGAGGCAAACTGTGCACAGTAATCTGGCTCGACGATCAGCGACGGTGGAGTGATCTGCTAGAGCGATAGGAAACACGTCCCCGAAGCTCTCTCTGCAGAGAAAACAGTGAGCTCGCTCAGGATGAAGAGAGACGAAGAAACTAGTTCAAGATGAGCAAAGGCGAAGCGATCGCTTTGGTTTACAAGCATGACCAGAACACGTAAGTGTGGATGCAGCGTGCATGCAAGACTTGTGTAGGAGCTGTTTGCGAAGCCCATTTCCAGAACAAAATACAAGTTGACCTGGTATCACACTTCGTTCAAAGCGATAATCGCATTTCGTGGATTCTTTTCGAGAGTTTCGGCGAGGTGTTGGGAGTGATGGGTGTCGTGTGCGAGGGATGACATGCCGAAGTCCTGGACGAACAAGGGGCGCTCCACCAATCACCCGATTGCATGCTGCGAGAGGACAAAATTGTGATGTGTGATGGGAACACTTCGCCAAGTAACTTTGACTATTATATAGAACCAATGTAACTTAGTCGATCTGGAATGGTCTGATTCACTTATTAGCTCTTTAAGGAAATGGTTTACTACGGCCTAGTTTTTCCCTTATGCGCTTTGTACAAATGATGATTACCATTTATGGAACTGGACTTTTCCAGGGGAATTCAGAATGATTCAAAATTTCGAGCGGTCTGTGTCAGAAATAACGGGCAAGAATGAGTGACTAGAAAGGATGGATGAGTACAAGTAGGGCAAGGTCTAACCCTAAAGTGCTGTACTCAGTAGAGGCTACCCCACTACAGCCTACAACATAGAAACATAGTTTGACACACCCCAATAGGCAAAGTGGGGGATAGCAAACACAACCAACGGTCACAAGACCAGTCAAGCAAGAGAACTGTTGGGCTGAGAAAAGCCCTTAGGATCTTTGCAGGGGTGAACTCTGGGTAGAGTTGTTGTAATAGCGGAAGCGTTAATTAAAGAGTTGTGAACCACCTTGCGCTAGTATGTGAGGGCAAAGTAGATTGATTAAAGCAAAGAGATACAAGATTATATAAGAGTACAAGGAATACGAAGAGACACGGTTGTAACTACTTTACTGTTGCTGTTGCGGCTCGATACAGTGACGACTCGGGCAACTGCTCTGTAGCGAGTCAGTTGTGTGTCCTTGCTGTCGCGCTGTACTTGTCAGGTCAAAGGTCGCTGACCTTTGACTTTCGCGTAACCTCCAGCGGTTACTTCAACCTCCGAGGGTTGACTCGCTGGTGCCTCGATATGCTTTGCTTCGCTTGTGTCTTGGTGTTTCGACACAGCAGAAGCGCTTAAATCACTTGTTTCCAACACTCCCCTTCGCTTCTGGAGTGTCGCTGCTGGTGACGTGGCTCTGTCCAGTCAGCAGCATGCAGTACTCGAACTTCTGCTTTCCGAGTTTCTTGGTCAAGTAGTCAGCTGCCATCTCGGTCGTGGGGCAGTATGACAGCTCGAGTCTCCCCTTCTCGATCTCGTCCTTCACGAAGAAGTATCGCAGGGCGATGTGTTTCGTCCTGTTCGCGAAGCCGTTCTTGTTGGCAATGCGAATTGCCGACTGGTTGTCGCAGAACAGAGTGAAGCAGGGTAACTGAGCCAGCTTCGCTTCTTCCAGCAGTTCGCGAAGGTAAAGTCCTTCCTTGGTGGCTGAGCAGAGTGCAATATATTCTGCTTCAGCTGACGAGAGGGCGATTAGTTCCTGCTTGCTCGACTGCCAAGAGATAGGTCCGATAGGTTCGAGGCGGTAGATGTAGCCAGTGCGAGAACGCCTGTTGTCGGAATCGCCAGCGTGATCGGCGTCGACGTAGCCGATTAACTTAGGTGTTGTAGTCCCGTTCTTGTGATAGGTTAGGCCGATCGTTGGGGTGCTAACGAGGTAGTGAAGAGCGCGGTCGAGTTCCGCTAGGTGTTCCGCTTCGGGCCTCTTGAGGTAGGTTGCGAGTTGGCTTGCAGAGTACGATAGGTCTGGACGGCAGGTAACAGCTGCGAAGAGAAGGCAGCCCAGCTTTCTCTGGTAGTCGCGTATGCCGGCGGGCTTGAGTAGAACGGGGCCTTCCTTGTTGTTGCCTGACGTGTAGCGGTACGGTGTAGAGATGGCGGTTGGTGTAAGTATGAAGCGCTTGGCGATGGTGTCGGCGTATTTCGCGGCGCTGAGGTAGATCGCATCTTCCTCTTCCCGGATGTTGAGCCCGAGGTACTGAGTGACGGTAGATGAGATCGTGAGCGTGAGATCTTGCTGCAGCTCCCCTTCGAACCAGGTAGTGATGCCGTCAGTTGAGCCGATGTAAAGGAGATCGTCTACGTAGACGATTAGCAGGATGTAGTCTGCGCCTTTCGTGAGTCGGTACATCCCCTGATCGTGAGGTAATTGCTTGAAGCCGATGCGGATGAGGCGGGCGTGCAGATACTGCTGCCATAGCCGCGGAGCTTGCTTAATCCCGTAGAGCGACTTCAGCAGTTGACAGACCTGGTTCGGCTCCCCGTTGGTACCGTGCGGTAGTTCCACGAAAATTTCTGCGTCAACGGGTGCGTAGAGAAACGCGTTCGCGACGTCGATTTGCTGCAGCTTCTTCTTCTTCATGGCGGCGATTGCGAGGAGAATGCGTAGTGAGGTGTGGCGGCTGACCGGAGCGAAGGTTTCGGTGAAGTCGCGTCCGTGCTCTTGGTCGAAACCGCGTACGACCCAGCGCGCCTTAAATTTGTCGATGGTGCCGTCAGCTTTTGTCTTCACACGGAAGACCCACTTTCCGGTGAGAATTGTCTTGTTCCGTACTACGCCGATGGGAACTACTTTCCACGTGTTGCGTTCCTCCAGTGCCTTCAGTTCCTTGTCCATGGCTTCGCGCCATTTTTCCTTATGCTCCCCCCCCAGAGCCTGCTGAACTGTCGCAGGCTCTTTAGGAATGGCTGCGCCGTAACTGCGGTGACGAGACCAAGGATTTGGAGCCCACTCTGTGTGTAGCGAGGGAGTGAAGTATCCTCTGGATAAACTGCTTCGTCTCCCGCTTCTGGATCAGGTGCGAAATTAGGTCCGACGCGTTCTGCTTCGTCGGTGTTGACTTGTGCAGGTGTAACGTAACCGTTGTCGGCGAAGTGGTAAAAAACTTCGGCGTTGTTACTTTCGCGTGGATTTTCGTCATCCATTGGGACATCGACGGAGCAGTACGGGAGGGGTCCGGCTTCTTCTGAGGCTCCTTCCACGTTCTGCTCGTCCCAGTCAGCTTCGTCTTCTGCCGAAGCGAAGGCACGGGTGCCATTGAATCCGCCCGAGGGATCGGGTCTGTTTGCTGCCACGTACGCAAGGTGAACGTCGAGGGTGAGGTTCTCGTAGAAGATGACATCACGTGCTGCGACTGTTTCTTTACTGTTGATGTCGAAGATTTTCCATGCATTGTAGTGTTTTTCGATGCCCAGGTGTAGTCCCCACTGTGCTCGCTGGGAGAATCGACCGGCGCGTGCAGATGGGGGTCGGTACTGTACCATGCAGCCGAAGACTCTCAACATTTTTGTGTTGCCCAATTTTCCTGTCCACAGCAGGTGCGGTGATGCGTTGTTCGGGAGCGATGATGACGAAAGCAAGTTGTGCAGCATGACGGCGTGGTCCATTGCTTCGGGCCATTGGTGGTTGGGCAGGTGCATGCCACGTAGCAGTTTGCGCATGGTGGCTTGGAGTGTCCTGTTCATCCTTTCTGCTACGCCTTGTTGTTGATGAGCGTAGGGAAGGGAAATGAGCCGCTTGATCCCCCTTTCTGCCAAGTAGTCCTTGAACCTCTGTGAGGTGTATTCTCCTCCCCCGTCTGACTGGAAACTCTTTAGTTTTACGCCCGATTCTCTTTCTGCTGCAGGAAGCCAGGCGACAAAGGCTTCGAAGGCCATGTCGCGGCTTGGGAGATTGAGGTGCCAGACGTATCTTGTGGCAGCGTCGATGAAGGTGATCGTGTAGTTGTACGCGTTTTGTCCGGGTTCGCGGTTGTACAGTATGTCGCTGTACACCATTTCGAGTGGCGCGTAGGCTGGTGCGCTTGGATTGTGGTGAGACACAAACGGTTGATGTGATAAATCTGCTTCGGGACAGGTGAAGCATGTTCCTCGAGCTCGCTGAAGTTCTCTGCCGTCGATCAGTAGAAGTGAGTCTTTGTCGAGCACCCCTGCTCTTATTGTGTTGTTTAACACCGTGTGGCTTGGATGTCCCATCCTTGCGTGCCAGGTTCCTTCGGTGGCGCGGTGTCCGGGCGAGCGTCGGTACGTGTCGGAGTTGGAGTAGAAGCCGGCGGTGACGTTCGCGCTTCGGTGGACTTCTCGTCGTGTCGGGTTGAGCTGTTGCGCGGGTGTCGGTGGTGTGTCGTCGAGGAGTGGTGCCGTTGAAAGACCAGCGACTGGTGTTGAAGTTCCTGCTGTTCCCGTTGATGTTCCTGCTGCTGCCGATGTTGTCTCTGCTGCTGCCGACGTTGTCTCTGCTGCTGCCGACGTTGTCTCTGCTGCTGCCGACGTTGTCTCTGCTGCTGCCGGCGTTGTCTCTGCTGCTGCCGATGTTGTCTCTGCTGCATGTTGAATTGTCGCTAACGCTCTTGTCCTTTCTGTCTCAGGGATGGTGTGTGAGTACCAGAAACCGCCAGGACTGAAGTCTGGATCAAGGTCTGGAGGGTGTGTCCAGTTGGTGAAGTTAACGATGGCGTCGCTGTCGGCGGTGCCGAGATCAGGAACGAAGCCAAGAACGAAGACGTTGTTCTTGAGGATCGCCTTGCCGATGTAAAGCCCTCCTCTCCCGTGATACAACTTGAATTCTTGGGTGGTGCTGTCTGCTTCGAGGTGAATCCCCTTCGCCATTAGCTGACTGACGCTTAGTAAGTTGTAGCCGAGGCCTTCTGCGATTAGGACCTTGGACATCTGTAGGATGACATTTGTTTCTCGTGACTGTAGTTGAACAACTCCTTGTCGTCGTGTGCGCAGGTTCTGATTGTTGGCGACGGTGATGACTACTTCGCGTTGAAGTTGGTATTCTCGTTGCACGAAGCGCCCTGAAGAACACATGTGCTGTCCGCAGCAACTGTCCAAGAACCACGTGTCCTTCCCGGATGGTTCGCTCTGGGCGATAGCTGCGTATGTCGGATTCGGCTCCAGTGTCTCACGGTGTGGAGTTCTTTCATCAAGTTGTTCTTCTGGTGAGTAGTATGGTGGTGATCCCGTGATGCAAGAGTCGCTCAGCCTTGCCATGCAGCTGACGATGTTTCTTGCTCCTTGTGCAG